ATTTGACGGGGTGAATTTGGGGTGGGGAGTAAATTTTGACAAAAGTCGAAATTGTATAAAATGCATATAAGTATACATAAAAAATTTGGAGACTCTAGCTTAAAAGATGTAGGAGATATAAATTTATTACTGGTTTTCGGTAACGTTTAATCGATAACAAAAGAACGGGGCAATTTATCGATATTTAAAGCAAAGCTCGATATGCGCGTGCTACACACGGACCTAGGAAAAAAAGTTTGAAGTCTCTAGCTCTTATATCTCCTGAGATCGACGCGTTCAAACATACGGACAGACGGACAGCTCGTCGCCCTGATCAAGAATATATATACTTTATGGGGTCTGCCACGCCTCCTTCTGCCTGTTACATACATTTAACAAAAGCATTATACCCTGATTTCCCATTGAAAATGGGTTCAGGGTATAAAAACACACAAAGTAATAAAAAAGGTCGTTTAACACTCCCTTATGCAGATTGTATTCGAAATCGCTCGCAGTGGTTATGACAGTCTGTAAGACCGACCAAATGCAAATGCTGGGCTTTAAGATTGCTACAAGTATCAAGAGTAACGCACGCAAGTCACAAATGCTCATAGATGTAGCAAGGGACTACAAGTGTGTGCGTGCATGCCCGTCGCGAGATCATATTCTTTATGCGCCTCAACGCATTCATACCCTTCCCATAAATATATATCGAAACGCTAACATTTTGTTTGCATGAATGTCGCAAACGATTTTAAGATTTCGGTATACCCTTCACTCAAAAGAAAAGAGCTGGGACCGTCGCGAAGAAATTTCAATTTTTGTGCGCTGCTGAGCTTCATGATTTGAGACCCCACAGAGAGAGAGAGAGAGAGAGAGAGACAGAGAGAGAGGGAGAGTAAGACAAAAAACGCAAAGCGCATATATGACCATTTCGTTTGCGTGCTTAGAGCGCACTGATTTCGTCGTGCTATCTTTCATTACCCGAACCATCCAATACCAAGCCGAGCGAATACGAAGTTGGCCGCGACTTGCTAGACAGATGTTGCGGCGTGGAAAAACGTTGCTCTACATGTCTAGTCTATGTGTTGTTTGGTCAGTGTTTATATGTACTTGATGGAATTTCGATTTATGTTAAAATTTCAACATTTAAAGTCATGCAAAATATTATTTCAAATCGATAATCATTTAGCAAATCGATAGCATCTATATTGATAATATGTATATCGTTAATCAGCCTTGAGCTCACAAACACAAAATATCGAAACACAGCTTTTCCTTGCACTTTACCCACGTGTTTACACCGATTTTAGATTGTTGAAAAAAACGTTGTTTTATTCATTTTTAATCGTTTTTTTTTTGCATTTCACAAAGTGAAGGTATGTACTTAAAGAAAATCAATGTTTTGTGACCTGTGAATATATGTTGTGTTGTTTAATTGTACTTTTAACCATCTGTCTCTCTAATACCCTATTGTTAACTAATTTCATCTTCTGTAGAATAAAAAAATATGAGGCCCGTATTGGCCCGTCAAACAAATTTTTTTTTGCGATATTATATAGATCGCCCACTATGTGAATTGTCCAACATTAGCTTCCCTGAGCTGCCCTTTCTAAAAATGTAGCTTTTTATAGGAACCATGTCGGTATGCAAGCGGCAACTTTTTGTTGTATGGCATAATGCAAAATGCGTTTCAAATAAGTATTCCGCACTTTTCGACTACATTTTTTCTAATGCTATACACAAATCGGACTGTAGTGAGCAGGAATACCATTCAATTATGGAGAAACTTAAAATTTTCCACAAAAAATTGTCTGAAAAGTGGAAGAAAAGCAACAGAGATAAGAATCGATTGGAGAACAACAACGCAGCCTGGCTCATCGACGATTTGGTTCTTCTGAGCCCTACAGAAAAATTGGCTCCAGGGCAAAAACCAAAATAAATTGAAAATTGCCACCCTAACCGTCAGTGCACAAAATTATCACATCTTGTGGAAAACAACTCTTGCAATGACCTTATGAGAGCAACACGTATAAGCCTTTATAAAAGTGGTAAACTGAGTGCATCAAACATTGTTTCAATGGTAGAAGTAGATCCCGACGCATCTAAAAAAATTAAAAAAAGTTTGGATGCAGACCAACAACTCCCCATTAAATATTCTCCAGAAGAAGCATTGGCGCTTTATATTGATGGCGATTACACGAAGAATATATTTGTGCAAGAATATTCTTGGTTTTACATGCCCAGCTCAAAACATTAATTCACGGAGCCGAAATTATATAATGTGTACCACTTCCGATTGGCATGATGTCGGAAGAAGCTTTGAAAGCAAATAACAAAAATTTGCGAAATTTTCGTCTCAATCATACACGAAACAAGTAAGAACGTTGCAGTCGGGCGTTACCGACTGCGGAATACTCATTCACATCCCATCAACAATTTAGTAGCTAAGTTTCGCTCTAATACTGTAGAATATACAGGTTTTTCCGATTTGCCACGCCCCAACTGGGCGTAGACACCTCATTTTTGGTCAGTTTTTAGAAAGAGATAACGGTACCCTAACTGCAAAGTTTGAATGCTTAACCTCAAAAAATGTGAAAATTACAGGGTATTTTTCGATATGCCACGCCCCTAAAGAGGCGTACAAATTATTTTTGGGGAATCGATAGAGGAGGCTACCAGTAACTCAACTATCCAAATTTAAAGCTTCTAGCTATTATACTTTAGGAGATATAAACTTTTGTGGTTTGCCACGCCCCCTGTGGGCGGACATATATCCGACAAAACTTTTTGATCTTGGGTGATCAGTCCGAGTATATATACAAAATTTGAGGTCTCTGCCATCAATAGTGTCCAAAATATAGGAGAATTTTTAAAATCACTATATCTTCAGGTCCGATTTGCCACGCCCCCAATGGGCATAGACTTATAATTTTATCTTTAGACTTTATAGAGTCATACCATTAGCTGACGTGCAAAATTCCAGCATTCTAGGTTTACAACTTTAGGAGATACAGTTTTATCCGATTTGCCACGCCCCCAATGGGCGTAGATATATCCGCCATAGCTCGTGATCTTGGGTGGTCAACGCGGACCTACATACCAAATTTCAGCTTTCTAGCTCTTTAACTAACATGATTTCTGGTATATCGGAAAATGCATTTTCCGATTTGCCACGCCCCTAATGGGCGGATCGGGAAAATTTTAACACTTTATAAATCGGAGATATACACGAGTATGTGTTCCAAATTTCAAGTCTCTAGCTTCAATAGCGCCGAAATAGATTGCGTTCATACGAACAGACGGACAGACGGACGGACGGACAGACGGACAGACGGACGGACAGCAAGACGGACATTGCACAAAACCAATATACTGATTCACTTTCGTGAATGAGTATAAAAACTCGCGTGTAAATACAATGGAGGATTTCATGAATTCATTATTAGTTGCTTCAGACCCACTTATAACAAGTTTGTGCAAAAGCAAAGGAAATAAATCTAGTAAAGAAATAGTGTTTGATAAGGAAGTTCGAAGCCTGCTATTGAATCCCTTCGGATTCAGAAAATTCCGATTCGGATTCGGATAACTGATATTATTAATAATAATAATAATTTAAAATGCAGACAATAAAAATGTTAAAAACATGTAAACAAAAAAAAAAAAAAAAAAAAAAAAAAAAAAAAAAAAGTAAACAAAAAATAAAGTATAACAAAAATTTTTAAGGTGCAAAAAATTATTAAAAAAAAAAAAATAAAAATATTAAATATTGTGCATTAAAGGGTCCAAATAATATAAAAATTACCACTTTTGCAAAATTGTTCTTATTTTTTGAGTAATTAATTTCGTTACGCTAGATCAGCTAAATCGCCCACTGTGCACTGCAGCCAACGCGTGTCTATGCGTGCGTACGTATGGCTGTGTGTGTGTGCATGTGCGAATAATCATTGAAATATCAGTTCAGGCGATCTCGTAGTCGGGCTTTCTTACTTGTTATTTTAAATTTCTATAATAAAATTTATAATTAGATTTTTATATAAAAATTGATCTGTAATAATTATTTTTGATTTTTGTCATATAAATTATTTATAATAATAAAAATAATTTTTTTAAATTAATCAAAAAATAATTCTTATATTTTAATTTTTTGCTATAAAATCTATAATTGTTACGGTCCCTGTGAGAAACTCTATTAGATACATTTTTTAGCGGAAACTTTAATATATTGCAAGACCAATGGAGTATTGTCACCAACCAAAAATCGAAAAAAAACTCATATTTTTGCTTTTCAAAAAATATTCCCATTTCTGATGCCCATTGCGAAATAACTCCATTTAAACGGTATGCTGAAGATATGCATAAAGCCCATATAAAAGATTAACGTTACTTTATACAAGTTTTATTTATCTTCATGCACCCTCAATAACAATGGAAATGTTAAAATACATGTATTCTTATTAATTCCTATATCTTTCTGTCTGAAAGAAGGGAAGAGGATAATCATAGTTTCCATTATCATATTAAAAATGATTTCTTCCGAAGAGTACACACAATGGTCCCTTGCTAATAATTTTGCCATTTGTTTTGTATTATATATGTAATAAAATGAATACACATAAAAAAAAAAAAATAAAAATCTATGAATATTACATTAATTAAGTAATAAGTATTATTGTAATAATCTATATAATTTAGGCCAGGTTGTATTAAGTGTAATTAAAAAATGTAAATTTTTAAGGTTTCAATAACCCTGAAAGTTATTAATGGACTCTACTGCGGTGTGTCTACACAAGAATTGGATAACTTAGCCGCAGAAATTGCAGCCAGTTTAACAACCCTTCATGCGGACTATGCTCTTCTGGCGGCAAGAATCGCAGTTTCCAATCTTCATAAAGAAACTAAAAAAGTATTTTCAGGTAATTACATATGCATATATACATATATATATATATATATATATATATACCATTTTAGACGACATTAGTATTTTATATAATATTTTGGCAAATAAATACAAGAGGTTAACAGTAAAGTAGTTTTAATGTTTCTAACTATAAATCTCTAGACGATAAAGTTTTTGGGCTGTCTCCTGTCTCCAGATTTAAAACCTATAAGTGAATATACCAAGCCAATTCAATTCGGGCCTCATGGGTTCTCCAAATCGGGTATCCGTGAAGGCTTAATGGTATCTTAGATAGCGGAAGTAACATTATGGACGCATCCGGATTCAGATTCCGCTGCCCATTTCAATTCGCGAATGAGCATAATCACGAGCATAACTGAAAATAGTTTTTTGTTAAAAGTATGTAATAGACAGAAATAGTCGTGGCAGACCCCATAAAGTATATATTCTTGATCAGGTCGTTATAACCATGTTCGTCCAGAATACCATAAATATCTCGATAACGTGACAATCGATATTGTGACTTTGTTTAAGTGTAATTTGAATGTACACAAAAGATTCATGTAATGAAATCAAAGATAATTTATTTTATACTAGTTGTCCCGGCGAACTTCGTACCGCCTAACAGTCTCTATATATATAAAACAAAGTAGATTTTGTTACAAAACTTATAATTCGAGATCTGCTGCACCAATTTTCATGGTTTTTGATTTGTTGGATTTGTCTCTGCCCCGAATTGGAAACAGGCATTGTATTTTTGAGTGTTCGCTAGAAAAGTAGGGAACGCAATGGCTCTGGTGGCGGGACCACTAATGGCAATGTCACTTTACCACTAAGGCAGCACAAACCGGGCGTTTCACCAGCAAACTTCAATGCGCCACAATGCTGGCAAACAACGTCCATTGGACCAATGCAAACTAAACGATTCAAGCTATAGTCAATGGTGCAATCATATCGAAACGCTTCTCGATTCAAATCAATCCTTGAACCATTTCTTATTGCCATTTCACGGGCTGCCTCTCTTTGAGAAGCACGAATTAAGGCCCTTCTTTGCTGGGTACTAACGCGGAGCCTTTCTCGGGCGATTTCTCGCTCTTCGTCAGATAATTGACTCGCGATATTCCGTTGCCTAATTGCATTATGGGTCCGCCGGGAAAGATTAGATCTTTTAGGACGCGGCATTTTAATTAATAGTAACACTGCCCTCGCACAAAACCATATAAAACAATCGAGAAATATAAATATAAATAATTTACACAAATTTATGTTTGAGACAAACAAATACCTGAACTTTCGAGATATTTAGCTTTTGTAAAAGTCCAAAAATATAAAAAGCCAAAAATACACTTTTTAATAATTAACTTTTTTTTTTTTTGAATTACGAATTTTGAATTTTTTATTTATTTTTGATTAGTCAGGTTTTAATCTTTTGATTTTTTTTTAATTTTTGCAGATTTTTGATTTGAAATATTTATAAAGTTTAAAAGTCCAAAAATATAAAAAGCCAAAAATACACTTTTTAATAATTAACTTTTTTTTTTAATTTCGAATTTTGAATTTTTTATTTATTTTTTGAACAGTCAGGTTTTAATCTTTTGATTTTTTTGAATTTTTGCAGATTTTTGATTTGAAATATTTTTCTTTTTGATTTGGAAAAAAAATTTTTTTTTGTTTATTTTTTTTTTGTTGAATAGTCTTTTTTTTTTTTTTTTGTTGAATAGTCTTTTTTTTTTTTTTTTTTTTTTTTGAATAGTCAGGTCTGCTTGAGGCTGTGCCGTAGACTGACTGACATTTGTTTATTTACTTCTATACAGGACCGAAACTGTCACTGTTGTCAAGGCTACTGAGTATAAATGGAAATTTGAATCTTTAGGGAAAAAACCGCGTTTTTCAAGTATTCGTCAAATTTTTTCAGTATTTTAAAGATCTACTGATCCGCCTCGTGGCGGAGACAAATCCAACAAATCAAAAACCATGAAAATTGGTCCAGCAGATCTCGAGTTTTAAGTGCTAATACACTTTTACACAACTCTCTTTTATATATATAGATTCATTTGTAAGAATTTGCTCTTGTATGTTTGGGCGATGTTAGATATTATTCAATTGAAAGTGATGACAGAACCTTTAATGTAATTTTAAGGAATCCAAAAAAATTTGATTAAAACTCATACAAATATTCCACATTTTTAACTTTATTTCAGATGTTTTTGAAGATCTTTTTAAGCACGTGAATAAAGAAACAAATTTGCCTTCCCCTTTGGTTTCTGAATATCACTACAATATTGTTAAAAATAATTCAGATCGCTTGAACTCTGCTATTATATATGATCGCGATTTCGGATATAACTACTTTGGATTCAAGACACTTGAGCGGTCGTATTTGCTAAAAATAAATGGAAAAATAGCAGAAAGACCACAGCATTTGCTAATGCGTGTCGCCATAGGTATACATGGCGAAGATATTGATTCTGCAGTTGAAACCTACAATTTGCTATCTGAGCGTTTTTTTACTCATGCATCACCAACTCTTTTTGCTGCAGCCACAAATCGTCCACAATTGTCTTCATGTTTTCTTTTAACTATAGTGTCTGATTCAATTGAAGGGATTTTTAAATCAGTTGAACAATGCGCAATGATATCAAAGTCGGCAGGTGGAATTGGACTTAATGTTCACTGTATTCGAGCTAAAGGCACCTCAATTTGTGGAACGAACGGCACTTCAAATGGATTAGTACCAATGTTAAGAGTATTTAATAATGTCGCGCGCTATGTTGATCAGGGCGGTGGTAAAAGACCTGGAGCATTTGCTATATATCTGGAGCCTTGGCACTCAGATGTCTTCGAATTTTTGGACCTTAAAAAAAATACTGGAAAGGAGGAACATCGTGCACGCGATCTCTTTTTTGCATTGTGGATACCTGATCTTTTTATGAAACGTGTTGAAGCTAATGAAGACTGGTCATTGATGTGTCCACATAAATGCCCTGGCCTCCCAGATGTTTGGGGTGAAGATTTTGAAAACCTCTATATCAAATATGAACGAGAGGGACGAGCGAATCGAGTTATTAAAGCTCAATCTCTTTGGTTTGCCATCATCGAATCTCAAGTAGAGACTGGTACTCCTTACATGTTATTTAAGGACTCTTGTAACAGAAAAAGCAACCAACAAAATGTTGGAACTATAAAATGCAGTAATCTGTGCACAGAAATAGTTGAATATTCGGCACCAGATGAAATAGCTGTGTGTAATTTGGCGTCAATCGCACTTAATATGTTTGTGACGCAGGAGAAATCTTATGACTTTAAAAAGCTTAAAGATGTAACTAAAATCGTTACGAAAAACTTAAATAAAATAATTGATATAAATTACTACCCTTTGCCAGAAGCTAAAAAATCTAATTTACGTCACCGTCCTATTGGTATTGGAGTCCAAGGGTTTGCGGACGCATTAATATTAATGCGGTATTCCTACGAAAGTCGTGAAGCATTTCTATTAAATCAGCAGATTTTCGAAACTATATACTATGGAGCTTTGGAAGCCAGTTGTGAATTGGCTCAGAGAGATGGACCATATGAGACTTACGTTGGCAGTCCAGTAAGCAAAGGAATTTTGCAGTATGATATGTGGAACAAATCACCAACAGATCTTTGGGACTGGAATGCTCTTAAAAAATCTATAGCGCAACACGGTGTCAGAAATTCTTTACTCATCGCTCCCATGCCTACAGCATCTACAGCGCAAATATTGGGCAATAATGAGTCGTTCGAGCCTTATACTTCAAACATTTACACAAGACGAGTATTGTCTGGCGAGTTTCAAGTAGTGAACCACCACTTACTCCGTGATTTAACTGAACTTGATTTGTGGGATGACGAGATGAAAAATCAAATAATATCAAGTCGTGGTTCAATACAAAATATTGAATCTATTCCTAAAGAAATTCGTGATTTGTATAAAACTGTGTGGGAAATTTCAGTTAAATCAACTATAAAAATGGCGGCTGATAGAGGAGCGTTTATTGATCAAAGTCAGTCTTTCAATATTCATGTAGCTGAACCCAATTATGGAAAATTAACATCAATCCATTTTTATTCATGGAAAGCGGGTCTTAAGACCGGCATGTATTATCTTCGCACAAAACCAGCGGCTAATGCTATACAATTCACTGTAAATAAAAATATATCTGTCCTGGAATCTAATGGTCATAGCTCATTTGAAAAAAATACTTCTTTAGAAGTAGATAATCCAAGCGAGTCTGATATAGAAAGAGAACGTAGAATGGCAGATATGATTTGTTCCCTTGAAAACAAAGATGCCTGTTTATCTTGCGGATCATAAATTCTTTTATAAGTAAAACATTTATTAATAATAAATATATCGTATCACTTAACTATACGATTTCTTTTTGTATATTGCAATAGAAAAACTATAGTTTATAGTGTTTCAAAACAAAATTAAGTCAGTGTGCATTAACTTAATTTTATGAATCCTCTATAAATGGGGTGATATACAAATTAGCCAAATTATTATATAGGGCTTTTCAATAAGGGCGGGTAGATGTTGAAATGGAATAAAACAAGCTGTGAGTGAGGTATTGACAAACTAATTTTTTTTTCATTTCAAATGCCCACTTCGGCTTTTTACCACCAACGTCGTTTTAAAAAAATTACGGACCAATGAAGGCGCCGGCCCAAAATCCACACCAAACAGTAACTTTTTGAGGATGCATTATCACCTGGTAAACGTCACACAGTAGGGCCTCTGCCGGCAAAGCGTGGCAAAAATAAGTATAGTCACGACACCGATCTCGGATTTTTTTATGCAATTCGATTGGAAATTAACCATAGGAACAGATTCTAAAAGATTTTTGAAACTAACCGAATTTTAAGGGTAGTTATGATCCCTCAAAGTTGGGTAAATTTGCAAACTGAACCGAAACATCGTAATTTTGTAAAAAATATTGCACTTTGCGACCGAACTGAAGCAAATATAATGTGCGACGAATTGTTTATTCCCAACCAAAAAATGATGCCATTCTGTTTATTAGTTTAGGAGAAAGATTCATTCTAGGTAACCTCAAAATTTTGCCCTTTTTTTTTATACCTTGAACCCATTTTCAATGGGAAATCAGGGTATAATGGTTTTGTTGAAATGTATGTAACAGGCAGAAGGAGGCGTGGCAGACCCCACAAAGTATATATATTCTTGATCAGGGCGACGAGCTGAGTTGATTTGGCCCTGTCCGTCTGTCTGTCCGTCCGTCTGTCCGTATGCATGAACGCGTCGATTTCAGAAGATATAAGAGCTAGAGACTTCAAATATTTTTTAAAATGTCCGTAATTACAGCGCGGATATCAAGCTTATCATTAAAAATCGATAACTCATCCCGATCTTTTTTTATCGATAAAAAACCTAATCGAAAACCAGTTATAAAATTATATCTTCTACACCTTTATTGCTAGTCTCCAAATTTTTATACTCATTCACGAAAGTGAATCAGTATATTGGTTTTGTGCAATGTCCGTCTTGCTGTCCGTCCGTCTGTCCGTCTGTCCGTCCGTCCGTCTGTCCGTCTGTCCGTATGAACGCAATCTATTTCGGCGCTATTGAAGCTAGAGATTTGAAATTTGGAACACATA